GCCGCTTCGGATCTCTACCACACATGGCAGTTTATGATCCATGCATGAGCTTGACTCCAACTAGACAACCACAATCTCTCTCTCTCTCTATCTGAACCAGCGGACTAGCCCGTTGGCCCTTGCACCTCAGACATGTCAAGGTTTAACTCTCCCCCACGCGAGCATGTGGAAGACGGTCACACTTTGCACCTGGTTGTGAGACAAATACCATCATTATTGGAGAGCTCTTTTGATCCAGCAACTGATCCCGCATCAGGCACTATCCGCCAAGACCTGATCTCTCTCTCTCTACTCAAGGACACATCCTTGTAAGTTGTGACCCTCATGTTTCCCTCAGACGCTGCCTTGATAGCAGCTTTGATTTCATCGTAAGTAGCCCTCTTTTCCAGCCTCACAGTGACGTCACGGAAAGCCATTCCAGTCAATTTTTCCCATTAAGTGCAGATAGCACCTTACCAACAGCCTTGGCAGCTCCAGTGCTGCTAGGAATGATATTGAATGAAGCAGCTCTTCCACCTCTCCGGTCCTTGCTTGATGGTCCATCAACAGTTTTTTGTGTGGCTGTGATGGAGTGCACGGTGGCCATGAAACCCTTACCACACTCCACTCATTCTCTCCAAGTGATCTAACTTTTTATTATTATTATTATTATTATTATTATTATTATTATTATATCAAATAATCAATACACTCATGTTTCCCACTGACCGTGTCCACTTTTGAACCCATCCCCACTTTTTTATTTATTTTTAATCAATTTTCCTGTGCCTTTCACCACCACTTTTGACCCAAAACATTTTCAACCCAACATCTCCTTCACCTTTTGCACCCCACTCACCGACTCCCTCGCCACAAAATAGAATACATTTCTTTATTTTATCTTATCTTTCTTGTGTCCTGTGTATTCTGTGTGTGTGTCCAACGTGTGTCTCTCCCCCATACCACCATACCCACCGTTTCTTCCTCTTGTATTTTATTCTATTTTATTTTCTTTTATCACAAGCACAACAGTATCCAATACTCAAAGTGCCAGCTTACTATCATAGACTATTATTCACAAACCACCAAATTCAAATCCTACATTTCCATTGCAATACCAGAGCATTACCAATACATCACACACCCACACACACATAAAAATAAAATAAAATAAAATAAAAACAAAATAAATAAATCAATAAAAAAATACAAAATATATATATATAAAAAAAAAAATACAAACCAAAACAATCTCCAACCACAACCCACAACCACCACAAAAACCGGCCTTACTTTTTCGCCTCTTCCGTTGTTCTCTTCTTCTTACTTTTATCTTGGGTGTCCCGTGACAGCCCGGTCTCAGTACTTCCTAATTCACCGAGCACGTTCACTCCCCCCTGCTCCAACCAAGCGCCCCTGGTTTTGCTCCGTTGAACTTTCCTATGCGGTCTGTGGAGCAAATAATGGCAGCGCAACCGGATATTGAGGCCAATCGGTATACATTGAAGTCATGTGTGGAGACCATGACTGCGGTCACAAACTTGTTGCACCGGCTTCAGAGTAGGACAAATGAGGTGCAACAGTTAAACGCCCAACTGGCTCTGCTCCAGCGCATGTATAAGGATGAACGAGCAGAGATATGTATGCTAAAGGCGGAAAACAAGGAGCTGAAGCGGAAGGGGCGTCCACTACTCTCTTCCTCTTACCTCGGTCTTGGGCGTCCCTTGACAGCACTGCCTCCGTGTTTCCCACGCCGCCGAGCCCGTTCACTCCCCCTTGCTCCTCCACCGCAGTATATGGTGGACCTCCGAATCGGAACATCACGGTGGCCTTCCACTTCAGCTCCTTGTTTTCCGCCTTTAGCACACATATCTCTGCTTGTGCATCCTTATACATGCGCTGGAGCAGAGCCAGTTGGGCGTTTAACTGTTGCACCTCATTTGTCCTACTCTGAAGCCGGTGCGACAAGTTTGTGACCGCAGTCATGGTCTCCACACATGACTTCAATATATACTGATTGGCCTTAATATCCGGTTGCGCTGCCATTATTTGTTCCACAGACCGCATAGGAAAGTTCAATGGAGCAAAACCAGGGGCGCTTGGTTGAGGTTCAAGGGCAACCGCACCGGTTATCTCTCTTGTGGACTCGTTGAGGTCTGGAAAGAGAGTGAGCAGACCACGGGAAGAAGAGGCCATGTTCTGGGTTGCTGAACGGGAAGAAGAGGCCATTTTTTGGGTTGCTGAGTGTTTCAGAGAAGCAACGATTTCAGACTGGTAATGTTAGAAAGGGTTGGTTGCAGAGTGTTTCAGAACGAAGATGTTCAGAGGTTTCAAACTAGTTTGGTTTGCACAGCCTTCGCCTCGGTTTATATAGACAACGAAGAAGAGGATGACACAACGCTCTATCGATCACATGCATCGCCGCGTGTCCAGCGCGACTTTTGATGGCTCGCCGCTCGACGATTTCTGTCGGGCACAACTTTTGATGAAGTGGGAGCGCCTTTTGAGGGCGCAACGTTTGAGGGCTCGATATATATATATATATATACATGTATATCTTTTGGGCAGCCTATATATACTATCATACAGTGTAGTTTCTACATCGGTCCGGCATGACCCCATAAACTGTCCCGACATTGATTCCGGTTAGCTTTTACATCGGTCTGGCATGACCCCGTAAACTGTCTCGACATTGATTCCGGTTAGCATCTACATCGGTCCGGCATGACCCCGTAAACTGTCCCGACATTGATTCCGGTTAGCTTTTACATCAGTCCGGCATGACCTTGTAAACTGTCCAGACATTATCTGCTACAACGGTGTGACACGACCATACCGTGTCTTCAGCAACAATTTGACACAACCATACAGTGTCTCCTATCCTCTTTTATTTTATTTATCAGTTTACTTTCCTGTTTTGTTACTCTCTCCAAACTCAAGTTGGTTGGTACCTATCTTCCTTGAGTTTGAGGGGGGTTGTTAATAGATATAATATATCTACATAGATAATATATATAATCTATATACATAGATTAGATTAATGTATAGTTAGTGGCAGTAGTGGCATTGTGCTTTCGGCTGCTTTTCCTTTCTGTCCCATTCCTATGATGGTGTCTGTATAGCATTAGCATCTACTATATATGAAGGAGTGTGTGTATCTATTGTAATAGAGATTGAATAAACAGAGTTCTATTTCCCTCTTTCTCTATATCCATTAAATTTAATAAGAACTATCAAAGGTCGTGGATACTAGTGTGGTGTTGCCATAAGAATATTTGACGCTTAAATCAGTTATATGTGAGTGTGAGTGTTAAGGGCCATAGGGAACTTTTTCCTTAGCTTTTGAGAGGGCAATATTATGTACAAACATTATTGGTCTGTGAAAATGGCTTATTAGTTGCGCTTAGTCAAAATTCAAACAGCTAATTAGATTACAACCTCAATTTGTTCTGGCTCACCCTTATCAACATGGTAGCGACCCAGTTCAAAAACTTCCTCACATGGTTTTGTATATGTTCATTATGAAATTACCATCATTAGTGACCATGCCATCGACTGGTTACCATCATGTGATGTAAAATAATCTCATTTTGCACAGGTAAGCTAATTGTTCTTTGTTTACTTTTTATAATTACGACAGTTACTGAAATTTCCTTTCTGAATTTTGTTAAGATGATGCATGCATTCAATGAGTGACGAAGTTCAATTTACACCCGGTGAATAACTTTACAATTGATTCAATCTCTTTTGCTTATTTTTTCTACCGTTACAATAAATTCATTCTCATCGTAAACCAAGTTAAACCTACCTGGATTACTTATTTTTTAAAATTTGGAATGCATTAAATTGTCTTCAAAATATAGGGATTTTTTTTTTAAGGTCTCTGGTATTAACATTTTCTAGCATAAAGGACACCAAATATTTTCATAATGTCTAAGGTCCCTCAGGTTGATCCAGAGAAAATTGGTCCAAAGAAAATTAGTCTAGAGAAAATTTCTCTGGATTCAACCCAGAGAAAATTCAAATTTCTCTGGGAATTGTGAATATATATATATATATATAACTATGACTGCGAATTAGGTGGAAGGGGAGAAAAGGGAAGGAAATGGAGAAGGTATGGAGGAAGCTGCTGTGAGGAGGGGAGGAAAAGGAAAGGGATTCTGTTTCTCTGGACTCCCCAAACCCAAAGAAATTCTCAGACATACATTTCCAGAGATTCTCCCACCCAGAGAATTTCTCTGGACTCCACAATCCAGAGAAAATTCCCAGCCAGAGAAATTCTCTCAACCCAAAGAATTTCTCTGGGCATGACCAGATGCAATAGCTGCTGTTGCCATACCTTCTGTTTCTATTGATATTCATGATAAATTGCGGCTTCCCAAATCATTAGATTCTAGTTCCTCCTCAGGAAAATCCCATTCTTTTATTTCTGATTCATTAGAAGAAATAAAGTCATCATGTGTGTCTAACATATCAGTTTCCAAGCTTTCAAACTCGTTATTTATAACCAGAATACCAGTACCTGTTCCTAACATAGCAGAACCAATTTCCAATTCTAATCGTAGCTTTGTTCCAAAATTTTTGGGTTCTCCTGTTGCTTCTACTCCTGCTCTGCTCAACTCGTATTAGTCTGCAGAATTCGCCAAATTTGCAAAACTAACTGCATATCAATCAACAACCAGTTTACACCAAGTTTGACTTGGCCTTCTATATTTCTTATGTTTATTCCAAGCTCTTTTTGTTGGTCAATGAATGAACATTCACAAACTGGTTCTTATATACACATCTAACCCAGAGAAAATTCAAATTTCTCTGGGTTTAACCCAGAGAAAATTCAGAGAAAATTCAAATTTCTCTGGGTTTAACCCAGAGAAAATTCAGTCCAACCAAACTAGAGAATTTTGTAAGAACTAGTTTGTGTGTATACTTTTAAAAAAATCAAATTATTCATACTCAACTCATCTTCGACTTGTTAAAACTGCAACAAATTTTTTCATAAATTTTTTTTAAATGCACATAAATCAATTACCAAACAGGACACAACATATCTCCCCTTCCATATCTCTGAACCTCAGCAAGTACAACTTCAATGGCTCGACGTATTCTTCAAACCCTAGTGTCGTCATGGCCCAGAGCAAATCATCGCCGGTGATGAGGCTGATGAACTCTGAAATGCACTCTTGAACTGTTTCCTTGGCGTCCTTGGAGATCTTGGCGTTCACCGGTAAAGCCTTTTTCATGATTCGACTCACGTTCGCGATCGGAAGGAACCTGTCTTGCTCCCTCGGTGATAGCTCGCTATTCGAGTTGTTGTGTCCTCCTGATGGGTCAGATTCCGGCGGCGGCGGCGGCGGTGGTGGTTGTGGTGGTGAGAGTGGTGTGAGATGGGTGAGTTTAGAAGTGGGAATGGGGTGAGGGACCTTAGACTACAAAAGAACATATTGTGGACTTAATCTATTACTAAAAGTTGGATAGGGACCTTAGACCGATTTTCCCCAAAATATAACCTTATCTCTATTTTTCAATTGCCATATTGATTTATATTGTTCTAATAATGACAAAAAAATTCTAATAAATATATATTTCAAATTTGAAAAAAAAAAGATGATAAATAATTTTTAATAGATATTTATGTAATATTTGTGAGGCTTTTCCCATACTAAGCCTATTTTGTATCTTAATTTTCAAACTAGGCCTAGTTTGGATAGAATTCCCAAACTAAGTTAAAGAGTTATTACAAATCGCGCTTTCATTGCTTGGAGACCAAAATTTGATGAACAGTGAAAGCGCTATTAGAAACCACGCTTTTAATTAAGAAAGCGTGGTTGCAAACCACGCTTTTAAATCAAATTTTTTTTTTTTTCAAAAATCGTGATTTCAAACCACGCTTGTACTGTTGAAATGTAAAAACGCATTTTAAAACAACGTTTTCCATACAAACTATCCCACACTCTGACACACCCATACACACCCACAACACTCACGTACACACACCCACAACACTCACGCACATTAATTTTTATATATAATAATAATTAAATATATATAATAATAATAATTTATTAAGTAGCCAATTAATAATCAATTATATAATTTTATAATTTTTTGAAATATAAATTTTTTTATATAATTTTTATCTTTTGAGTGGTTAGAAATTAATTCAACAAATTAAATTGAAAACAACCAACGTAGGATATAACCTGCACAAAAGTTAAATGATAATTATTTTTTACCCTTAAATGATAATCATTTTTATTTTTTATTTCTTAACCAATTAATTTTTAATTTTTTTAAAAAAATTCTAAAAATCAAACCATACATAACCAAAAAATCTTTTGATAAATGATTACATACGTATGGTTTAAGGGTAAAGATTTTGCAAATGACTTAAATGATAAATTTATTTTATAATTTTTATATATTTTATTTTTTACTTTTTAGATGTGTTAATTTGAATACAACTAAAAAGTAAAATATTTGTAAAAAAAATATAATATATATGAAATGTATTAAATTTTATATTTTTGTTGAATTGAGTGATTTCTTTAAAAATTAAAAACATTTTTAATAACTTCATATATATTATATTTTTTAAATTTTTTACAAATATGAAATGTATTAAAAATTTTTTAATTTATCAAAATCATTTATCAAAATCTTTACCCTTAACCATACGTATGTAAGTCATTTATCAAAAAGTCATTTATCAAAATCTTTATCCTTAAACCATACGTATCTAAGTCATTTATCAAAGATTTTTAGGTTTGTATGGTTTGATTTTTAGAATTTTTTTAAAAAAAATTAAAAATTAATTTGGTTTAAGAAATAAAAAATAAAAAATAATTATCATTTAAGGGTAAAAAATAATTATCATTTTAACTTTTGGGCAAGTTATATATATACGTATGGCTGTTTCAATTTAATTTATAAAAAATTATTTCTAACCACTCGAAAGATAAAAATTATATAAAAATAATTTATATTTACAAAAATTATAAAATTATATAAAAATTATATAATTGATTATTATTTGCTATTACAAATTATTATTATATATAAAAATTAATGTGCGTGAGTGTTGTGGGTGTGTGTGTACGTGAGTGTTGTGGGTGTGTAGGTGTGTGTCAGAGTGTGGGATAGTTTGTATGGAAAACGTTGTTTCAAAACGCGTTTTTACATTTTAACAATAAAAGCGTGGTTTGAAACCACGCTGGTTTGAAACCACGCTTTTTGAAAAAAAAAAAATTTATTTAAAAGCGTGGTTTGCAACTACGCTTTCTTAATTAAAAGCGTGATTTCTAATAGCGCTTTTACTGTTCATCAAATTTTGGGCTCCAAACAGTGATAGCGCGATTTGTAATAGCGCTTTAACTTGGTTTGTGAGTTCCGTCTAAACTAGGCCTAATTTAAGAATTAAGATACAAAATAGGCTTAGCGTGTGTTTGGCAAGAGGGTTGTGGGCTAATTTAGCCACAAACTAACAAAATTGGCTAAATTAGCCACAAACGGACAAAACACATTCAGCTTCCGTTTTGGAGCATAACTTCCATACGATGAGGGATGAAACTACCAATTTACCCCAGGGCTATTTGGACTACTCTAAGAAGACTCCAATGTCAACCTTTTCCCAATAAAAACACGTTTTCCCAAAAAACCAAAGAAAGTTGAAAAAAAAAATTTAAAAACATTTTTTTTGTTTTTTGTTAAAATATTTCATAAAAATAAATCCAAACTCTATTTATAAAAATATTTTTAAATATTTTAATTTTTTTATTATGTATTTGATTATTTTTTGAGTGTAGAGTTGTGAAAGTAGTATGGAGTTTCGAGTTATGTGTTTGGTTATGAGTTTTAAAAATAATTTATTAATTGAGTTTTATTTTATGTGTTTGGTTACGATCAAATTAATATATATATATATATATATATATATAAGAAGACAACAACATAACACCCAAATTTACATTTTCAACGTCATGTTAAAAAAACAAAACATAAAAAAGTTTTTTCCAAACCCAAAAAAAAAAAAAAGCAAATTGAAAACAATAAAAAAAATGACAAAAACGTAAATGAAAAATAAAACCAAAAAAAAACGCCTCATCCAACCAAAAAAAAATAAAAAATAAATTTAAAAACAAAAATTAGTAGTTGCCATGTAATTTTAAAATAAATAAAACACATGAAAAACCTTTTTTGAAAAATAAAAACAAATTAATGTATACAAATAAAATAAAAATGAGAAAAATGTAAATTAACAAAAAAAAAAGAACATCAAAAATACGCCTCATCCAACCAAAATAAATAAATAAATAAATTTAAAAACAGAAATTAGTAGTTGCCATGTAATTTTAAAATAAATAAAACACATGAAAAACTATTTTTGAAAAATAAAAACAAATTAATGTATACAAATAAAATAAAAAATGAAAAAAATGTAAATTAAAAAAAATAACGAGAAAAATACGCCTCATTCAAAAATATTTAAAAAAAAACATAAAAACATAAACTACCATTCGCGACGTAATTTAGAAATAAATAAAACACATGAAAACTCATTTTTGAAAAATAAAAAAATTTATTGTATACCAATAAAAATAAAAAATAAAAAAAAAACATAAATTAATGTGAGTGAATAAAAAAATGACAGAATCGTAAATTAAAAAAAAAATAACGACAAAAATACGTCTCATTCAAAAACATTTAAAAAAAAACATGAAAACATAAATTACCATTCGCCACGTAATTTACAAATAAATAAATAAAAAATAAATTGTATACCAATAAAAATAAAGAAGGCAAAAAACGTAAATTAAAGAACAAGAACTAATTAATGTATAAAAAAAAAAGACAAAAACATAAATTTAAAAAAAAAAATTTAAGCAAATTATGCCAAATCCAAACCCAAAATAAAATAAAATAAAATAAATGTATGCAAAATACGCCAAATCCAAACCCAAAATAAAAAAAAAAATAAAATTTTTTTTTTAGCAAAATACGCCAAATCCAAACCGAAAATAAAAAACTTAAAAAAAAAAAATTAAGCAAAATACGCCAAATCCAAACCCAAAATAAAAAAAAATAAAAAATAAAAAAATTTATTAGCAAAATACGCCAAATCCAAAATAAAAAAATAAAAAAAATTTAAGCAAAATACGCCAAATCCAAACCGAAAATAAAAAAATAAAAAAAAAAACATTTAAGCAAAATTTGCCAAATCCAAATCCAAAATAAAAAAAAAAGCCAAAAAGGGCATATTGGTAATTTAACAGGAAGACACCTCACCAAAAAGTCAAAAAACCAAAAAAGTCAAAAAATCCTTCATAAACTAGGCTTTTTAACCTAAAAAAATTAAAAAATTAAAAAATCAATCTACTTCCTAAACAAAAGCTTAATATGGAAAAAGCCTCAATATTAATATGGAAAAAGCCTCAATATTTGTCGATGCCTGCAAATAGTTTTTAAATATATTTGAATAGCTGGCAAAAGCTAAAACTGTGGTGCCCGCCTTTTAGTGACACCTCGACCCGGTCCCCAAGTTTACCTATAAATAAATGAGATTGCAGGAAGCCATTATTCATTATTTCTTCTAATTCATTGTAGACATGGCCCCAAGTTTAAAAAATCATGATGAGATCTATTATTATCTTATAGCAACTGTATTGGAAGACAACCTTAGTGTTGTTTTTAATGGAGGGGTCAATAACACTATTAATCTCAATTTTCCTCCGGCTAATGTTAATGCCTTTTATGGTTTTATTGCAATCATGATGAATGGTTTGGCTGATGAGGTAAAAGTTTCATGTTATACTTTGATAAATTTTAGTGTTTTGTTTTTTACTTTTCTCTACTTAATTTTTACATTTTGAATGTATCAAATTTGAGAGATCCGTTTTATGGTTGGTGTTTGCGACAAAATTGAATCATACATGTACTTTCTATTTGCTTAAAACAAAAAAGGAACATTTGTGATTGAATTATTCATTTGTTTGGTTTTTATTTTCTTCAAAAAGATTTTTTTTGAAGTATTGACTAAATCTAATATTATCTCTACTCAAACAAAAATAGTTTTTATTTTTTATTTTTTTTTATAATCAATTTTTAATAATTAATTTAAGTAATTTTAAGAATTATTTGGTACTTGCGTGTGTGCATGCGTGCGTCCATATCAATCGGAAAAATTTAGAGATGAAATGGTCATTATTCTTTATTAGTAGTGGTGTTATTCATTGGCCTTTCCCCCTAAAGGTATTGATTTTGGAGCAGGAAAAAAAAAAAAGAAATAATAAACTTGTATTTTGATTTATTTTTGTTCTACATGTCAAAGCCATCAACTTTGTGTTTAAAATAGCTATCTAATGAATTTAAGTGATTTAACATCAAAGTACTTGGCTGCAAAATTATGACCCTTTTATATCTTTTGTAGATCAAAGAAAAATGCTATGTGCAGGAAAAGAAAAGGGGTAGCTATGGATTTGATCTGAATTCTAATGGGGAAAAATCAAAAGAAGTCTTGTTTGTCAAACTTTTATCAGAATCAGAAGGTCATAACAATGGTCTCTACGATGAAGTTGACACCATGGATTTGGCAGCCCTGATTTGCATGGGGTGCAAGCATTGCCATATGTTCTTCATGCTGCCTAAAAGTGCCCCAAAATGTCCAAATTGTGAGGACGATAATATGCTTGATTGCTCGACCCTCAACCGCCCATTGAAGAGAGCAAGGATGAACTAGATCTTGTTTTTGCGAATGTTCGTGGATTGTGCGTGCTTTGTGAAAATCTTAAGTGATTTGTGATTAGATCAAGATTAAAATATTTCAATTCCCAATCATTCAAAACACACAATCTAAATCATCAAGCACTTACGAAAGTGATTTAGATTGTTGTTTTCGAAATAAACAATAAATCGACATAAACGATTTTTACGTGGAAAAATCACAATTGAAGAACCTTCAGTTGTAATAAA